CATATTTTTGACTAATTGCAATAGAATTAAATAGCCAACTAGGTTTAAACTATTCAAAGCACTATATGCGTATTAGTCAAAAAAATAGCAAAGCAAAAAAAAAGCTTACTTATTAATATCTTCGCCCATCTCATATTGCATTAAAATATGACGGCAATAAAGAGCTTTATATTTGCTTTTAAAACTTTTTATAATTTCTGCATCTATTTGTTGCAGATGAGCTATTGTATTGGGAGGTAAAAACACAATTTTAATATTAGTTAGGTTTGAATATAAACTTTGTCGATTTTGTTTTTTGCGCTTGTTTTGATGTGTGTTTTTTGTGAGATGTTTTAGAAGATAAGCCAACACTGTTACTTAATTCAATATCTTTATTTTCAGAACCAGAACTGACTTTATCTTGATTAGTATATTCTTCATTTGGATCAAAATGAGAAGCAGCATTATCAATTAGTAGAAGAATTTTTTAGTTCTTAACTCAAAAATAATAATTTAATTGCTGAAGCTATTCTTCAAATATAAAGTCAGTATAGAAAGTTTTCGTAAATAAAAATAGCTGGGTCGAAGTAGAATTCGACTGTGAATTCAGTAAAGATGAAACAATTAAAAGAATTCAAAAAAAGAAGAAGATTGGCTTTAGTTAATTCTAGTAACTGGCGATGAATCAAGAAACTCAAGATATAAACAAAGAAGCAAAAGAATAAGCCTAAAAGAAAAAAGATTCTACTTACAAGAATAAAGAGGAAAACCCCAAGAGAACTTTCAAAGAAACAGAAGAAAACCTATATCAAAAAAAGCGATTCCACAATGATAAGTCCGAAACGGCTAAAAGTTATAATTATAACAGGTGAATAAATATGGACTGTATAACAATTTGGAATCTGCCAGTAAATATAGATACAAAAGAAGTCAAGTACATATGCAAGAAATTAGATAATATAGAAGACATGTATATCAAGTGAAGAAATAACAGGGCTCTTGCAGTAGTAGAATTCTGCAAAAATCTAAAAAATTTGAATATACTTTGGGTTCTTTCAGTTGGTGACAGTAAATTGGCCAGGGTCTCTATAGGAAAGGAGGATCATAAAGAAAGAGACAAAAGATACAAATTTGTAGCAAAACTAACAGGTATTACAGAAGGCCTCTCTGAAACTCTGTTACTTAGACATCTAAAAGATAAAAAAGCAAAAGCTGTGTATATTCCAAAAAGAAGAAGCGGTTTCATAAAACAGATAGCAAAAGTGATCTTCGCAAATAAACAAGAAATAGAAAAAGCACAGAGAAAATCAGTAAGGTATAACAACCTAACACTTTACTAGATCTGAGCGAGACAAGAAGAAGATACTGCTTCAGAAAATGCATTTGGGTCAAAGAATAAATTAAATACCAATAAGAAATAGAAAAAAAAATCCAGCGAAGAAGAAATAGAAACATATCAAGGAAAAACCTCTGCCAACGATACTTCAACATCAGAAGATGAAGAAGAAACC